TACATTGGCAACACACTGCTATTTCTGAGTTCTTGATTATTAGATATGCGTGAATCACCCCGAGATACACAGCATAAAAGAGTTAGATAACTCTACATGCTTTGGTTTTATGTAAAGCTAACAGTAATAGCTAGTATAGAGTGCTTTTTATCTTCAAAGTCCTTCACATATGAGATCTTCCCCCAGGGACTGAAAAATATTATCTCTGCTCTACAGGCAGGCAAACTGAGGAGATACAGCAAAAAAATTTGCCAGAAGTTGAAAAGCCAGAGCCACATTGACAACAAGGAGGTCCTCTTTCTTCCCTCTGCGTTCAGGCCATGCCTCACCTAGAGAAAGTGGTGCTGCCTGTTATCATCACTTTGCACAAGCTGCGTCTCTGGCCTACTTAAAAAAATAATTAATTCATCTCAGCCCCGGCTGCTTGGCAAGTTTCTTGAAATGCAATTGTGTGTCCTCAGGATTTGGGCTACAGAGAAGAGAAACTTCTCCCAACCGATTAGACTTTTTCCACATCTCAAAGAATTAAAGAAAGATGCCCATAAACCTGAAGTGTGTATTTGTGTACAGTGTTGAAAGTCCACCAGACTATCAGTCACCAGTATGAAATTTCATTCTAGCAAAACGACACAAGTCAATATATTTCTTCACAAACCCAACAGCCTAGGCTACATTTTAAATGCAAGTCAACAACACCACTGTACCTGGCAGTGCCAGGTGCCAACTGCCTGCTGCCCTGCCAGGCCAACACTACCATAAGAGATGGGTCCCCTACCCAAAATCTGCTTCTGACCATTTTTTTCAAGGCTCTGGGTTTGTTTCTGCAACCTGAAGCCACTCCACAGAAGACACGTGTCTCAGCCCCAAGCCAGGGTGCCCTGTGCACTGCCATTTTCTCTTGACTGGACCTACTTGACCAGACAGGTACTTCCAAGCCATCCTGTTGCACAAGCTGTCCAAGGGGAAGACTCCCATCCTTTGGCCTCTCTGTGTGCCTGACCAAGCAGCTTCTTTGCAGACACTATGTGCAGCTCCCATCAACAACATGCAGCAGCTGCCTGGGCCTGTCCTACCTCACAGCCCACAACCCAGCACCAAGGCTGGGCACAGCTCCACTTGCAGCTCCCCAACCCAGAGGCAGCTTCAAGAGCAAGTGGCAGGAAAGCCCGCAGGAGAATGGATCACAAAAACAAGCTTAAATCTGACTGTACTTAAAGTTATTCTGTCAGCCCAGACAGGATGTTCCAACCTGGTGAAAGAGGTACTTATTCTTCCTCCAAGCTTTCCACCTAAAAGAGAGCAGCTTCCCTAAATATGACAGTTTTAAGCTCTAAGAGCTAATCTCTCAAAAAAGGGAGTAAAGACACATGCAATAGTTGGTGCTGTTTTTCATCTTTCTGCAATAAATATTCCCCTCCTCAGCAGGAGACATTATCTGTTTTAAAGTGTAGTCAACCAGAATTAATCATCTCCTACTTAGTCTAATCCCATAGGTTTGCTTTTTGGTGTCAGGTCCTGCCCATGCTGTCTAGACAAGGTATTTCACCCAGGGCCATGCTCCATCACAGGTGTGCAGATGCTGACAGAGCACCAGAAACAAAAGTGCTAACCTGAAAAAAAGAGAGCAGCATTATAACTATAAAGCTATTATGTATCGATTATATACAGAATGAACAGGTATCTAGGCATTTCCTTCTCAGTTACCTGATTAAATATTAAAAAAAAAAAGGAGGAGACACCATTCTAAGATTAAAAATGCTTAAACATGTTTCACGTGAAAATTAAAATATATGTATACAGAAACTGTCCAAGCAATCAAAGGTATGAGACTTTCTTGTACATGACTGGCTAAATGAAGTTTAAAAAAAACATTTTTCCATACGTAATTCCTTTTTATCAATTGTTTTATCATGATTAACAGATTTTTTAGAACTATTTTCCCAACAGTCATTCATACCAATCACAGATGCTGCTAACTGACTCAGTAGAGGCTGGCATCATGACCAGAATCCATCAGTGTTGCATTTCACTCCTAATCCTACAGAGGACACTTCCTATTTACTCCCTGCCTCGAAGTAAACCAGTGAATACTCCAACAATCGCAAGAAATAATCTGTTCCTTTCAGTCCTACAACAAAACATCGGTTCATTATTATGATATTTGTTTAGAGAGGGACACGCTAAGCAGCTGCCAAACTGAAAAGCCAAATGCAAGCATCACAATGGTGAAAATCAAGGAGAGCCTGTGTCTTCAGCTACTGTTCAATTTCGAGGAAATCCAGTAACATTTTTAGTGCACAAACCACTGTCCAGGTGATCTCTAGCCCCACTCTAGAAGTTTCTGTCACCTGTATATTCTTGCAAGAGAGCCTTACCTCTTGCAGAATATACAAGCAGAATAAAGACCCACAGCTCTATTAGGGGTGCTCTGGTCAGTGTGCAGTCCCCACAGAACTAAAGCCAGAAGAGAACACAGACTACAGTACAGAGCACTGGCTAGCTGTCCTTGTATAAATCTAGGGCCAAAGCTCAGATTCTTAAAATGCACATCCATCTGCCATTGATACTCCTGCTAGTTCAGTCATTTGCAGAGAATGGCTACACAAGTCTTAGTTCAGCAAGTGCAAACAATAAGGAACGCTGCCCAATGTGTATGGCGTTCATCCCGAGCAAAAGGAGACTGGTCCTTCAGCTGTCCTTCCTGCTGCTAATCCTTAATACCTAAATACTCAAGACAGAGAAGGGAATGAAAACTGGATTTCCCACAACTGAATGCTCGAGCTCCCAAAAGAAGGAGCAAATGGGGAGAAGGCAGAGCCACCTCTGGACCCTCTTACAGCCAACACAAACCCCCATCTCCCAGAGGAAGGTCAAGGGAGTAAATATTCAGACCAAGACAAGCACCTTCTGGCAATCCACAGCCAAGTGCCTATCTCCACAAGAGGAGAAGGGCTAAAGCTGTACTGCCTGCCCCAGCATTTCTGCCAGCCCTGCCCAAGCAACTCCTTCTAAGCAAGATTTCTTTAGGATATCATTCTTGGTTGTTCACACCCCCCCCTTAATACCATTTGCCTTGGGTGCTCAGCTTAAGGCTAAGAATCCCATTCAGAGGTAAGGCACCTAGAGGTAAGGAAATGCTGCTCAGAGTTAGCAATACCTGCACCTCCCCATTCAACAATGTCTCTGAAAGCCCATGCTCCATCACACTACACCGCCTCTGAACAGCTGCTCCCTTCAGACAGTCCTTTTGTAGAGAACAACTGCTCTGGGAGACACCGAGGAACAGAGCTTGGGAGTGCCAAACAACAGAAGCACTCTGAGAATATAAAGTGATGGGGAGCAGGAAAATGCACAGCAAGAGAAAAGGGGCAGGTAAGGCACAGCATCATGAACAAAAATGACTTTGTATTACAAGTTAGGAGAGGAGCTTGTAGAGGTGGAATAGCAGTGCTTTAGAAATCACCACCCTGAAGGAGATCAGAGGCACAACTAGTCCAGCACCACATCCAACTGAGACAGATCCTTCAGAGCAGTGTTCAAGAAATACCATCAAGTACAATCATGCAGAAATCTGTCCACGGGGGAAGCTTATTTCTAATTCACGTCCTGCATCTATCACAGAATTGTTGCATCTGTGAAGCTTCATGGACACCATGTGTGATCTGGTCAGGAGGTGAAATTACTGTATCCTGGAGTTTAAGACTTCTAGTATGTGTGCATTTTTCTACCTTAACAGAGCATTTCAAGCAAAATAAGCAGAACAGAATATAATAATTATAGCTGAGCAACCTCTCATAAGTATAGGGAAGACAATTAAGGGACAGCAGCGTAGCTGTAAGCGTCAAGACCAAGTATGGCAGCTACCAACAGGAGGAATGAAGGGCCAACAGCAGGGATGAAGGAATTAAAAATAAAAATGAGCTAACAAGTTGTAAAGCCCAGCAAGAGGCAAAATGTCAGTTACAAAGAATGCAGAGAAGGGAAGGATTTTGCTGAGAGCATTAATGAAGTTAAAACCTCCTGAGCAAGAAACAGCAAGCCTTAAAGAACAAGCAAGCAAATACATAAGCTGGTTTTAGTTCAGATATGTTATCCAAAATGCTCCATTAACCAAAGCAAAATATTACTGTGAGAGCTCCCACAGGGAAAAGAATTGCAGAGCTGGGGCACAAAAGCACACCTCAGCAAACACTGCTTCCCATGGCAGCCCTACTGCTGACTCAACTGTCTTTTAGCTGTGCTACTCCAACTGTTTGTGCAGTCACACAGAGTTGGGAGAGATGGACCGATCCCCATCAGGGGTTACCTGGCTGAACAACTGCTCCAGAGTGATCCCATCACTGCAACTGAGAGCACAGCAAGGAGGCTGCCAAAAGACAGAGCACCTACCTAACCCACTACTACAAGAAGCGTTCATCAAACAAGGCCCTAAAATAGGGTTGTCAAGGTAAAATAAGACTGCTCAGCAGGAGTGACAGTGTGCACCCAGACTGACGGAAAAATTGGGAGAGATTTTGCTTGGAGACAAGGACTGGCAAAGGCCAGAGAGATCAGGCCAGCAAAGAGAAGGCTGGCAGCCACTCTGCTTCCAGGGAAGAGCTCAACATCACATGCTCCCTTTTATCTTCCTAAGAAAACCAGAGGAAGGATAGAGGGGAAAGGGACAGAGGCAACTCAGACAAGACACAAAACAAAAGCAGAGATAAACAGGCAGATTCACCCTGAAATAATCCAGTTCACTTAGCTGGGGCCACGTATTATTCCCTGATGACCACTATTCCTTGTAATGCTCCAGGCCTGTGTTCCAGCTGTTTTGTAATTACCTAGTAATTGCCTGTGTGGAAAGGGTCACTCCTGAGGTATGTGCTTAGGCAATTTGGGCCAAAGGATCCAACACTCGGTTAACCTCTGGCTTGTCCAAAAAAACCCTGCAACTGACTGTGCAATTTGCCTGGACTGACCTCTATACACTTTCTAGAGTTGTTCATAGGATTAAAGACCCCAATAAAGCAGTTGCATCTCTCTCCCAGAGGCCAAGGAGAAGAGGCACAAGGAGCTCACAGCTTCTGCTCCTTGGCCAATGTTTCCCATTAAGCCAGCTTACCATACCCTTCTACCACATCCCTTGGCTTCTTTTTGGATTTGCCTCTCAGTTGCTGCTGGATTTCACCCTGCAAACACGGGTGCCCCACAAGCAGCAGCTCTGCCCCTCCAGCAACAAGTATCGGGGGGTGGACCGGGCCGGGTGTGAGGGCCGGGTGTGAGGGCAGGGCACGGCTTGGGGGGACCAGGCGTATCCTCGCTGTGGTGTCAGCATGAAGGAAGGCTGCAATAAGGCGGGTTTGGGCAGAAACAACTCGCTGCCCCCATCCCACACCGGGCCTGCGAGGGCCAGGAGAGCCCCTCCTGCCCCGCTGCCCTCCCAGGGGCCCGGCCTGGCTGCCTGGCCCGGCGGCCGCCGCCCCCCGGCAGGCTGCCCTCGCCGGGGCTTTTTGGGGGGCCCCCCCGCCCGC